CATTCTAGCTTCACATTGGCAGACAGGCTCTACTTAAGTGATATTTAGATTCAACAGGTGTCGCAGTAATCATGCCTGGGTGTGTCTAGTGAAATTTAACCCAACAGTCAATTGAATTTGGTTAACTAGTTGATTTAGCAGCAAAGGGGGCAAGTCCTATTTTACATAGGGCCAGGTAGGGCTGAACAGCATGTTTTCTTAAATAAATGAAATCATCATTTAAAAACGGCATTTTGTGTTTGCTTGGATTATCTTTGTCTAGTATCAAAAGTAGTTTGATGATCTGAAACATTGAAGTCTGACATACACAAAAATAGAAGAAATCAGGATGGGGTAAATACTTTTTCACTGCACTGTATTCTAGTAACATGTTACTTGAATCCTGCTACACAACATTGACATAAAAATGCCATAAACAGATGTCATATGCTGTCACAGGTTGACGTAACAGTTTTTCAGTAATCTATACAGCAGTTTAACATTGTTATGATACAATTACTGGAAATTTTTATAACAGATGCCAAATGTTTGAAGTCATGACAGAATAACTCAGCCACATAACTTAGTCGTCATGATGATTTCATTTGCTAAGATATCATTTTTTTTAGCGTGCACAGTTGTGTCACTTGGAGGCCCAGAGCCTCATCTAATTTAAACAAGTGCACCCAGGGGGCGCCACTGCTGTCTTTGCCTAGAGCCCCAAAATCACTAAATCCTGGCTGTACATCTGAGAAAACTGCATCTGTATTTATTGGCTTTCTTGGTGAAGTGACGTGTTGAACTGGCACGAACCTTTAAGAAACCTAATATCAACAATGACAAGTGGAGGGAAGCTGATGGTCATAATTAAATTGAGCATATGCTAATAAATGCAAACACAGCTGCCTGTGTATGTGTGAAGTTCGCACATTCAGCTAGTCTGCAGACAGGGTGCGAACGTGAGAGAGGAATGAGGAGGGAGAACCAGAGAGAGAGAGAGAGGGAGAGAGAGAGAGAGAGAGAGAGAGAGAGAGAGACCCATCCATTCACAGTCTGTTAACACAGTGTCATCTTACGGCCTTAAACAGCTTCCTTTCCTGCCCGGCGCTCACTCACAGGCTAACAGTGCCGTTTAAACCACGCTCCCGGTCTTCATTACGCCGTTAAGGCTGGGCTAACGTCTTTGATCCCCTCACACTGATAGAGGGCGTGAGCAACAGGGCAATCTCTTCTCTCTCACTCTTTTTTCTGTCTATCTCCCTTGTTCTCTCTATCTCTTCATATTTACTTCAACAGGGCAGTGTTTGTAAGGCTACAGATGCACAAAGAACTGTCATAAACCTACATGGACATTTATAAACACTTATTCCAATATCTATCACAAAAGCTGCTTCTGTTAACTTTGATACTTTGATGTCAAGTTAATGTAACATTCATATCATTTGAGGTGACATTTCTTCTGACACTGGAATGTCATGACAATTTTTTGGGTGAAATGAGGGAACAATATAACAACTGACTTGTAGCTTGGTGCATGCTGATAATGTTACATAGCTAATATCTCATAAACAGTACAAAGGAACTTTCCTTACCTAAGCAGACGCACGTATGTTCATCCAGTCTGACTTGGCAAGCTGTCATATTATCAGCATTATGACAGAGTTACGAAGTCCCCCCAGAAGGTGTCATAACATAACCTAATGTCACCTCACACAGATGTTACATCAACTTGATGTCAAAGCTAGCAAATGCAACCTTTATGACAACTGAGGCCTATCACAATAAGTGGTTATCAATGTTATGAATGCAGGCTTAATATTTGTGAAGGTCTTATGTAGGGTCATGTTGGTAACACTTTACTGTAGGGTGCTGTTCATAAGGCTTCATGACACCTACATAAGCTTGTCTTGACAAATGACATAACTCTACATAAATGTGGTAACACTTTCTATGAATGTCACCTTTGTAAGCATCTATAAACACATTCATAACATGTTCTAATGCATTCTTAAGGCATTATAAACATGGCTATAAATATTTATAAAAATGCATTACATGTTATAGCCATGCGTATTATGCATTATGAATTGTTAACATAATACATTACAAGTACTGTTCATAACAAATTATAAGAGCTCATGAGTCATATTTGTCCGCTCTAAGTAAAGTGAAGCGTACTGTACTAAAGCCTCCTCCAGTGTTAAGAGTGAGGCTTCAAGTTGAAGTATTTACTGAAGGATTTACTGAAACACTAAAACATACACAGTAAAGCACATTACAGGCTTCAAATGTCAGAGTTTAAACTAGTGCTGCCATCAGTGTTTTACCCAATGTGGGAAAGGTAATGTACACCACCGTTAGCTTGGTATTTGTCTTTACTTTGCAGTCTCCAAGCTGGGACTGACTTCTTTGGCAGTGACAGTATAACATGTTATAAACACTACTCATAATGCATTATATTAACAATTCATAATGTATAATAAACATGGCTATAAAGTGTAATCCAGTGTAATTCATTTTTATAAATGTTTATAATCATGTTTATAATGCCGTATGAAGGCATTATAACATGTTATAAATGTGTTTATAGATGCTTACAAAGGTGACATTCATAGAAAGTGTTACCATATAACCTTTACAGCAAATGATGCCTGTTGGAATAAGCATTTATAAACAATTATGTAGCCAGTTGTTATGACAAGCTTATGTAATTTCAGCTATAGTGTAACTTATCAATCAAGATGTTTTGTCCAACTAGACAACAGTAAACTAAAAAACTTTCACCTGACCCCCCATTTAAAAAAAATAATAAAAGAGAACTCATTCAAAAACACTCACGTCATGTTCAAACCAGAGCTCTCCAATGCTACTCCTGCAAAGCCTGCATCTAACACACCTGACTAAAAATGTCTTCAACTTTTGGAAATATATTGCTTTAGAAACCTTAAATACTTGAATTAATCTGTCAAAAATATCTCTTCTCTAGTGCCTGTTAGAAGGACTGCAGGGACACTGAAAATTCCAAAATCAAGAGTAAAATAAAGTGGTGGAAAGAGACAGGAAGTGTTCAAACCTGCTGTGCTCTGTCTGTTCAAAAGAGAAGATTCAAGCTTGGCTGAGCATCAGTTGTGCAAACCTTTGCATACCATGCCTAGACGACTTCAAGCTGTCCTCCAGAATAAGGGACATGCAACTAAATACTAACCCTGATAAAATATTAAATAATAGCCTACATTAAGGCAAGAGAGTTTATCAGACTAATATCTGAGTACTTTGACTTGCCTGTCTTAAGTTTTCAATAAGTTTTTTTCAAATTTGGTCATTAGCATTAGTTTTTGTAACTCTTCTGATGCAAATGAATAAATAATAACTTTAGCTTGGAAGTAATACATAAACAAGACTAATTGTACCCAGAGAGTGTCCCAAGACTGCTTTTGAGCTCTGTATGTAAATGTCTTCATTGTTCTGACATCACAACTATGATGAGTTCAAAGTAGTTCAAACTAACATTAGACATCAAGCTTTTCATCAAGCAAATAAAATCCAGTTTTTCCATGATATGGTCCCTTTAAGAGACCACAGTACAGCAGGAGCAGGCCCAGGGGACCATGGATTAACGCTATGACATATCCGCTATAGGAACTAATTACTGAGGGATTATTAAATCCACATCTCAGAACAAGAGCGGTCATTAGACAACAGCAGTGCCAAACTGCAGGTGGCCAGCCAGGGTGCCTGGGCCTTGTGCTGCTGCCAGTGACGTGCTATCCTTAAAGGCAAATATCAGGCCAACCTTTTCCTCTGCCATTAAAAGGCGCTGGGGAAAAAGTGGTCTGTTTAAACAGCGCAAACGTGCCTTCATAAAAAGTAATCCTCTAATAAAGATAAACCTTAAATCAATACGTCCCAGTGGCTCTGTCACTGGGGATGCAGGGACTGCTATCTAAGTGCTCACGCTGTTAGCAGCCGCTGTGTGCTAACAGGCCAAAGCTGCTCGAGCTCCGCTGCCGGAGCATCTCAGATTAGGACTGGCAGGTTTTAGGCTCAGTGCGGTGTGAACCTTTGGACACAGCCGCTTGTTTTTTGAGCAGACTCAGTGAATGATGACTCTGGCATGGGCTCAGGGGAGAAGCCCTGTACCATATGCAATGCCTTGTTTCTTTGGGGATGATGTCATGTAATGATCTCTGTTTGGCTGTATGACCTCATTTGAATGCTACCAATTCACAGGTAGGAGTGTAACAATACAACATACTGTAATGTATCATTCAATACAAGCCTCTCAATTCAGTACATTCAACAGACTGGAGCAAATAAAGTGCTCGGTTAAATGCTCCTTTTTTGCATGAAGTATAATGAAAATTAAACAAGCAAGCCCACCATAAAGGCAGACCCTCCCTCCAATGAAAATATTGCTTCCTCTTTCCCTCTTTAAATTGAGATCAGGGAGGAAAACCAAACTACTCGTAAGCGTATATTAGCCCAAATTAAAAAGAGACAGTGGCGTAGACCGCCAATAGAATGGGATGCTCATCATAGAATGGGAATCACTGCACTCAATGTCGGCTAAAGGGGTATAAAGCCCCCCAGCACTGGGCTGTGGAGCAGTGGAACTGTGTTCACTGGAGTGATGGACAATCATCCAATGCCTTTGGAATGAGATGGAGTGATTTAGAACTAATCATCCTGCATCAGTACCTGACCTCACTAATGCTCTGGTGGCTGAGTGCAATCAAATCCCCATACCAATGTTCCAACATCTAGCGTAAAGCCTTGTAAGTAGAGCAGAGGCTGTTACTGCAGCAAAGGGGGGCGCACTCCTTTCAAAACCCTTGATTTCAGAAGAAAACACTGGATAAGCAGATGTCTACAAACTTTTGGACACATACAGTCCCTCAGTTGACTATTATCATCTAGAATATTATGTGGAAAATAATGTCTATGTTGAGCAATGATGGGTGAGCTGTTACAGGGCAGACCTGGCTTGAACAATGCTGTCAATACAGATAACAAGGACAAACCTGGCTATCTTGTCTGTACAGGACATGGTGATGAGCCGCTCGCCCTGAAGCACCCCGTCCCACGTCTGCACGGGCGCTCTGCATCTGACCGGCAGGGTTCCCTCCCCAGACTCAATCTTGGTCCGCAAGTGGCTGTGGAACTTCTTCACCAGGTGTCTGCCGCCGTGCACTGAGACTGCATTAATAACACAGCATGAGCATCATAGAGAGTACGGCTATTTACACAGAGGGACACAAGTGAATAAGGCAAAAATATGAACAAAGTGAATGAATTCAAAACTGGCAATACACTTCAAATAAAAACAGTGTTTTGAAGCAAAGTGGTGTCTTTATGGTCAAAATGATGTGGTGGTTTGAGGTTGTATGATGCAGTGTGTGCCCCTACATCAGAACTTCGAATTACCATGTCAATTGTTCTGAGATCCTCCCCTGACCGTGACTGATCCTAAACACTGTTGGTCCTAAGACCTCCTCCTGACGGTGACTGGTCACTGTTTTGTTGGTTTCGAGACTTTCCCCCAGATGAGATTGGTCATAATCACTGTTTTGTTGGTTTCGAGACTCTCCCCCAGATGAGATTGGTCATAATCACTGTTTTGTTGGTTCTGAGACTTTCCCCCAGATGAGATTGGTCATAATCACTGTTTTGTTGGTTTCGAGACTCTCCCCCAGATGTGATTGGTCATAATCACTGTTTTGTTGGTTCTGAGACCTTCCCCTGACTGTAATCACAGCCATGACTGTAATGCTGCTAATGCAAAATCATTGGACTGAACACACTTGGAGGAGAACACTAACTGCCAGTTCTGTTGCATTAGCTAAAAGAGGCCTGCACTAGTGATGGAGGGAGATAGCGAGGACAGTTGTAATCTCTTGGACTGCCAGCTACAGAAGGCTGTAGTCAAACTCACAATCTCCTGATAATAGGGCCCCAAAATTGGTTCCGAACACGAAGGTTTTTGTTCTTCTCCCTGACTGTGCTTGGTCCTAATCACCGCATCATTTGTTCTGAGACCTCCCCTCCACCTGTGACTGGTCTTAATTTCCACCTTGTTTGTTTTAAGACCTCCCACGACTGTGACTGGCCCTAATCACCATGCCGTAGGTTTTGAGACCTCCTCTTGACTGTGATTGGTCTTATTCACGGAGTCATTTGTTCCGAGACCTCCTCCTGACTACAACTGGTCCAAATCACTGAGTTGTTTGATCAGAGACCCCCACCCCCCTTAAATTTACTATCATGTTTAACAAAGGTTACTGGTATGTATGGGATATTTTGAGAGGTTGCCAGTCTTATGATGTCAGTCTAGTGTGCAGCAGTGCTACCTCTGAGGCAGCAATCGTCATATTTTGACTGCTTAATGACCTCGTAATTTAGAGGATCCAGTGACATTCAGAGAAAGTATGTATGCACAGCAAAGCATATCAGTTCTTTTAGTTTACAACAGGATACAATAGCAGTGATTTTGGAAAATGCCATTCATTTTCCCTATAGAGAAATCAAGACCTGGAGCTCCTAATATGGGCACGGCGCCAACCACAGTGTGAAAACTCAACTTCAGAGGCCTTTGGAGAAAAGTTGAAAGGCTTATACAGAAAGTGAACTGAAAGTTAATATAATTCATTACAAAACTAGCTGTGCATTAATTACACAATGTAATTACACTGCAATAATTGTGTAATAAATACTAGATCTATAGCAAATAATATTTAAACTTCTAAGGGTGGAAATAAGTGGAGAAAAGAAAGATTTACTTTTGACAGTGTTTGAATGGCTTGGAAAAGTATTCAGAAAGAAAGTAGGCTAACGTTACTGCCATTCTGTATTCAGTTTAATACACATTCCTAATTATAGTTTTAAGCTAGTTTTAAGCAGGTAATCTGATCTGTTGCAAAAGTAACTTTCCCAAGTCTTCAGGTTCAGCTCACTGAGCTTTCTTCTCTCTTCCTATTGCCGATGACGGTTATTACGGACGTTTTGCGTCGCGTATACAAAAAACGTATTTAGGAGGGGAAAAAAGTCCAGGATTCTGAGCCATTCTTTGACCTGCATGTGCAGATAAACACATTGAGATCTAACAAGGCTGGGAAAAAGGAAATAATCAGACACCGCTCTCCCAAAGCTTCTTAAAGATTCATTTCCCTGCCTGGCTCTGTTGCCATGGCTGTGCGGATGCAGACAGACCAGCGCTAAGCTCAGAGTTTCTCTCTCTCTGAAGTCTCAGCGAGATGCGAGAAGCAAAAAGGTATTACGCAGGCCCAGAGCATAAGCCATTTTGCTAATCTATAAAAGCTGACTGATGAACACTTAAACGCTTTAATGACCAAGTGAGAGAAGTTCAAAGCTTTCCTCAGAGACAGTTTTCCCCCCTCCACTCTGATGATTAAGTTGCCACAGACAGCCTTCTTCCTCATAAAAAGCCCCGCACCATCAACATAAAAATGCATGGGTACAGTGGCTAAACACATTGATCTGGCTTAAAAGTGAAGGGTGATGAATGTACCCGCGCAATTATTTGATGGAAATCTGTCAAAAAGATAACATTTATCATGCTTAAAAATCCCGCAGACGGAAAAAAAAGGAAAAAAAAGAAGAAGAGCCCAACATCCGAATAAATATCCATCTCTTTTTATCTGTCGAGCATTAAAATGTCAGCCGAGAAGGCCCTGGATGGGACGCGACATAAAAAGGGGAAGAACGCTGTCTGACAGCCAGTGACAAAAGCGTGGCAGATGCTTTCAGAAACTCTAAATGGAAAAAAAGGAAAAAGATGATCCCTTAAAAAAAAGACTTTAAAACTGGCATAAGTGGGAAACAGAATGAGCATGTATGCGTGTAAGGGAGAAGGACAGAGGGAGAGAGGAAAGAGACAGAGACAAATACAGAATGACAGACAGAGAGCGAGAGAGACAAGAAAAAGAGGAAGAGAGAAAATGATAGATGGAACAAGAGAGAGAAATAGGGAAAGAGAGTCTTACAGTCAGTTGGTACTGTTTGTGCCATACTACATAAAGACATATATATATATATATATATATATAAATACACAGATCAGGAAAAACATGAACACCTCCTTGTTTCTACGCTCATTGTCCATTTTATCAGCTCCACTTACTATATAGGTGCACTTTGTAGTTCTACAGTTACAGACTGTAGTCCATCTGTTTCTCTGCATACTTTGTTAGCCCCTTTTTACCCTGTTCTTCAGTGGTCAGGACCCCCATGGACCCTCACAGAGCAGGTACTATATGGGTGGTTGATCATTCTCAGCACTGCAGTAACACTGACGTGGTGGTGGTGTGTTAGTGTGTGTTGCGCTGGTCTGAGTGGATCAGACACAGCAGTGCTGCTGGAGTTTTTAAACACCTCAGTGTCGCTTCTGGACTGAGAATAGTCCACCAACCAAAAATATCCTGCCAACAGCGTCCTGTGGGCAGCGTCCTGTGACCACTGATGAAGGACTAGAGGATGACCAACACAAACTGTGCAGCAGCAGATGAGCTATCGTCTCTGACTTTACATCTACAAGGTGGACCGACAAGGTAGGAGTGTCTAATAGAGTGGACAGTGAGTGGACACAGTGTTTAAAAACTCCAGCAGCACTGCTGTGTCTGATCCACTCATATCAGCACAACACACACTAACACACCACCACCACGTCAGTGTTACTGCAGTGCTGAGAATGATCCACCACCCAAATAGTACCTGCTCTGTGAGGGTCCATGGTGTCCTTACCACTAAAGAACAGGGTAAAAGGGGGCTAACAAAGTATGTAGAGAAACAGATGGACTACAGTCTGTAGTTGTAGAACTACAAAGTGCACCTATATAGTAAGTGGAGCTGATAAAATGGACAGTGAGTGTAGAAACAAGGAGGTGGTCATAATGTTATGCCTGATCTGTATATTCAGTATTGTGCAAAAGTCAGAGAGCACCCTTCATTTATTAAGCAGCCCTTAAAGGGGAACTCCACCGATTTTGCAAAATTACTTAATCATTCAACGGCTTAGACGTAAACAAAACCATTCAGAGTGGTTTGGTGTGAAATGCACCTTTCTAGAGAAATTTACAGAGTCAGAATTGTTCACCATTGTAGTACTAGGAACCAGACGTCCTTATATCCAAAATGACCAGTGAGCTTATATGTGTCTTATAAATTTTTGTATCACGCTGATAAAAGTAAAATACTGCTAAATTCAAAAAAATATTTTGCCATCTTCTAAAATAGGTAATAAAACTGAAAAAAAAAATTAAACAAAAACTGCTGCCACTATTAGCCATGTTGAATGGCTGTAGCTACAGGCGAGTATCAACAAAAGCACATTAACTTGTGCGCATTGATCTCAGTTGAAAAGGGGTTTTGAGAGGAAAGTAATCCTAGAGTAATAGCTTATAGTAAAAATACCTTTCAGGCCAAAACTTTATAACAAAACTACCACAAAACAATGTCTCAGGTATCAGGCAATGTATTTATAATCGTTTTGTGTAACAACTTAATGGAATGTAGCTTTTAGAGCCATTAAATGCTTCAGACGTCTGGTTCCTAGTACTATAATGGTGAGCAATTCTGACTCGGTAAATTTCTCTGGAAACGCACATTTCACACCAAACCACTCTGAATGATTTTGTTTACATCTAATCATTGAATGATTAAGTAATTTTGTAAAATTGGTGGAGTTCCCCTTTAAGTATAACTCATTCATTTTTCAGGATATTTCAGAGGAGATTAGGGGTAACATAATCCACTCGCACAAGGAAGGAGAAATTCAAAGGAAAATAACAGAATGAAGAGGAGTTTCCTGACAAAAACTGTCAGATAAACAGCACTTAAAGCTTTCATCTTTGAGAGAGGAGAAAATCAAGCTGCTTCAGATCTGAAAACATCCACAGGTGTTTCTGTCCATCCTTCCACTGTGAGAAGAGCACTATGGATCTGAAAGGTTGTGTAGCTGTCAAGAAGCCCTCAGTGAGAAAAGGAGATGCAAAGAAGCAGCTGGTGT